CAACTCATATATATATATATATATATATATATATATATATATATGAAAAAGCCTTCTCAATGCTTATAGGTGAAAATGAACAGTGATTTCGTCTACTTTCATCACCGACCAAAGTTCAACGTACGGTCACGATTGTCTGGTAGTATTTTATTTTTTATTTTTTTCTAAAAATTGGAATAACCTGAAATTTGGAACGTGTGTTCATAAAAAATTGACAAATCTACGAAAAATATCAAAAACATATTTTACATGAAATAAATTGATCAAAATGTTTTTGGGGGATTTTGATCAATTATTTTTTGCGAATTATTTTTTTTATATTTTTATTAAGTGCCCCTCACTAAGATGTATACACGCTCCAAATTTCATATCATTCCGATTTGTAGAAAAAAAAATTGAAAAATAAAACACTACCGAACAATTGTGATTGTGCGATGAACTTTGGACGGTGACGAGAGTAGACGAAATCACTGTTGATTTTCGCCTATCGGCGTTGGGAAGAGTTTATATATATAAAGAGAGAGAGAAGGAAAAAAAAAGAGAGAGAGAGAGAGAATTGACTTAAAAATATAACGAAGGACGCGATTTCTATAAAGCCCAGGCTCTCAACAATCAAATTGGAGCCGACCTTCAAATAGTATCGAGAAATGCCGTTTCAATATTAGAAATCTTTGTGATAGCCTTAAAATATATTTTCATAGTTATTTATAAAGTTTAAAGCTTCAAAAATAGCGAGATCGGCAGATCTATGAAAACTTGAAAATATAAAAAATTGACAGTGAAAAAGTAGTTCAGAAAATACACTATTTCCAAGACTAGAAATCCATTTTTTTCTCATGTCCATGCAATTTGAAGATATTTGAGCATCAAAACAACTCTTCTAGTGAAAATTTTGAGGTTGGCTTAAATTTGATTGTTCAAAACCTTGGCTCTATGCAAACTTTTCAAAGAGTTGTGTACCTTCTCAGAGATGGCGTCTTGGACAACAAGAATATCAGTTGTGATGGCAGAGATGACTTCCCCTGTAGAAGCCTCAGTGTCGAAAAGGCTAATGTCTTGGTTCAACATTGACCTTACATATGCCAACCTCATCTTCCTTGCCTGCCTCTCACCCGTGTACATCCAGCAAGCAACCTCTATAACACAACAATAAAACTATACAAATTACAACCACCATGTCTAATAATCTACAACAAGATGAAATTATATGCATTGTAAAAAAATGACAATGTACTTGAGATTAGGGAGAAAAAATTTGGAAACGAAAAACATCGTTGGACCTGAGTGCTGTTTGTCTCGTGTGTTTTATGTTTTAGCATCTTGGATTTCATTAAGAATTAAAACTTTTTTTTTTTTTTTGTTTCTTTCTTACAATCATATCTTTAAATATCAGAGAAATTTTTAAAAGCATATTTTAAATATCATCAAATCCGTATTCTAAGTATTTGGCGTCTGTTACATTAACCATATTCCTGAATTCTTATTTATTATGTGTCATATTTGTTGATATCAAAAGAATGATCCTGTTATTTTATATTTTACCGTTGTCTTGTTATTTGAGATTTTTTTTCATTTTTTTTCTCAAGCATAGTCTTTCTATTTGTATCTCGAGGACAGTTGAGACATCAAGTTTTGGACCAATGTTTTCGTACATAAATTGGTTCAAAACTTCAACCAAACTAGTCCGATTCAGAACTTAAAATTTCAAACCGAACTTTTTGGTCACTCTCTCTACGAATTTCTGAACCAATTACAAATTCTTTTTTGAGTGAAGGGCCAATTGGAACTTCAAGTTCGAAACTGGATTATTTGCAAAAAATGAAAAAAGACTTTTGTTACTCGAAGTTCCTAAACATTATTGCAATTTAGAAAAAAAGGACCCTGCTCCGGAATTTGAAGCTTCATATACACAGTATTTTGTGAAAAGTAAAAATTGTAAAAAAAAAAAAGAAAAAGAAGAGACTAAGACATAAAACATCAAAACATTTTTCAATAACACAAAATATAAGAGATATCTACAAAAGTTTCCCTAAATATTATTACAAAACAAACCTAACCTCATTAAGGGAACTTTTAAAAAAAAGAAAAAATTCACTTGTAACATCTTTTAAATGATCCGAAAATTTGCTTCCCCAACCATCTATACGTGTAAAATGAACATATTTCTCTCTAGTACCGGGAAGCAAGAATAAAATACGTTTTTTTAAAGCATGCAGTACATAACGGACTCGTGAGTTACGACAACACATCTGTCATGTTTGAGGTCACACATTCTTGTATGTTGTGACCTATATTTAAGTTATTTGAACCAGTGTTTTAAAACTCGGATAGGTGGGATAGATCGTTCAATCACGAATATGTGTTGAATCACCAAAACTGCGATCTAAATTGGGTCTTGATCGGTCTATATGAGTGACCCTAAAAATATTAAAAATAAATGAATAAATTGAGGTTTATGCAATAATGATTATAAGGGACCTAAAAAAATATCAAACAAGCTTAATAAAAGAAGAAAACAAAATTATAGAAAAAAAGAGTTTTAGGAGGAATTGGGATGAGATATGCATTAGAGTAATGATACTATGATACCCTCTCACATCCATATGAGTAGGAATTCAAAGGATCACCATTAAATTTTGACACAGATCTCTAGAAAAGTTATCAATAAACCCATTCACTCAAGTCCCACCCACATGTGATAACTTTTCTAGAGATCTGTGTCAAAATTTAATTGTAATCCTTTGAGGTGTTGGTATGGAAGGGTCTCATAATGTCATTACTCTATGTATTATTCTAGAACCAATTCGGTCCCAATAGATTCCCGTTTGAATCGGGAATCCAAATCGAAAATCGTCGAGTTTTAAAACTCTGGTTCCAACCTAGTATACAAAACACAGAAAAATTCGAGCATAACTCAGGGGATTTCTGCTTGCATGCTTTTCCCAGTTCCATTCCCAAGGGTAAATTCGTTGACCGAATTTGCTATTAACCTAATAAAGAACTTTGACACTTAAAATAGGTGAAAAATAGGAAAGTACTTTTCCAGTTGCTACAACAAATGCTTTGCCGAAAGAACAAATATGAGGAAGCCATTGTGCAGCAGGAAAAAACTTCCACAAAAAGTTTTTTCCCGCTAAACAAAACTTCTTTCGAGTAAACCACCTGTACAGGACAATGTAACACATCCATGATCCACTCAAATTCTATCACAATATGGAAAACAACCTTCTAATCTCATGAAAATGTAGGTTGGATTGGATAGGGACTGTGGTGATTTTGTTTTGAAAAATCTGAGGATGCCCTAGTTCTTCCTAGTTTTCTATTATTCTAAAAAGATTTATTTCTCTATACATCCGGGAATTGGGGAATCTACATCAAAAAAAAGCAATCCGACGGCTTTTTGGGGGACAGACCCCAATCCGCATCTTTAAATAAGTTGTCCATCAAATGGAGGAGCATATAATCTCGAGCGTCCATACTCGATCGCAAAGGTCGCAGATGGGTGTATTGATATGCTACACAAGTCGTGTGGGGTACACCACCCTTTAAGAACAATTGATGCCTCGAGTGCATACACAAAAGTTGATATTATAACCTATTGTCTGTTGATAAGGTGGGTCCACATTAAAGCATGGACCCCAACAAGTGGAAATTTGTACCAACACTAAGGAGGAGGTGGAGGTGGAGGTGGAGGTGGAGGTGGAGGTGGAGATGGGATGATATAGTGGGGTAGCTACGGGGACCGACAAAAGACCAGGCTAATTGTCTATAAGTAAATAATAAAATGCATATATAATTGTTGTATGTATTTCATTTATAATATGGAAAATTGTTTCATGTGGACGGACAGTATTTTTATAATATGCGGTTCAGAGGTATAAAGCATCCATCTTCATCTTAAAGATAGATGCAAATAAGTGGTCCATCTAAAAACGAGTGTAACTAACGGTTCACATGTTGTTTCAATATAATTCTATTTTTAGGTTTCATTTTTTTTTTTTTATATTCATGATCTTCATGTTAAAGATTATATATTCTCTAAAAATTAAGATCAAATTATATTTAAAAAAATATATTTATTGTCAAGCTCATATTTCTACAATATACAGGCTGGCCGCATAGAAACCATGTTTGATCTAAATCAAAATATATGTTGTATATAAGATAATGTATTATACGTAAATAAACATCCCCTCTGCATGGCCCATTTTTTAGATATATTTTAGGCTTAATTTTTTTATAAATATAAATTCTCTAACATGGAGATTAAAAATAAAATTTAAAAGCTAAAATTAATGTTTTCCAAAACAAGAAATTGTGTCCATTGGTTTATCTTCTCTTTTGAAGGTCTTAAAATGCATGGGGGATGCAACTATAGGAGTGCGTCCCCATGCATAAAAAACTATTTATTGTATATAAATCTCCCTCTATCATCTTTACTTTCTCGTAATCCATCAATAAAGCATCCCTCTATACTCTATATCATCTGCCCTCCGTCTATTCCTGTAAACTTTAAACATGCGTAGCTCATCTACCGCCCAATGAGCAAGGGAACACCATGTATTCATGATAGGATTCTCTCTCTGCTCGATCTATCTCTCTATCAACATCAATGATTCCAATGGACGGCAGTGATCCCAAAGGAAATAGACCGTCCCTAAGATTACAATAAACATTTATCATTAAAATAAATACAAATATATTTTAACTAGTGGGTTGAGGGGGCGATTCAGGCTTTCCCCACCTAAAGTAGGGGAAAAAAAAAAAATTGAAAAAAGATGGGTTGGTTTGTTTATTTGATCCTTATCTTTGTAACCGTTTGATTGATCAATGAATAAAAGTTGGGTCCAATGGGTAGGGGCAAGGGCATCCTAGTCATTGCTATCAAGATAAAGGGGTAGTTGGAGAAGAGTAATTGAAGAGCATTAATTGCTTGTGGCACTTGTTTGGTGGGTAGAAGAACGCGAAGTGGGGTTTTAAAGTGATATTTCATAATGTTCTTTGGAAGATTCGAAATGAGATAAGGTTCAGTCAGAATGCACGAAAGATTTAACAGAGGGAGAGCGGCAGAAGAGGTTGAAGTCTTCCGATTTTTGGTCTAGACTGAAGGGAAGCGAAACGAAACTACGGTTCAGTAGTTTTTTTGGGCCGTTTTACTTCAACGAAACGAAACTACGGTGCACTAGCTTTTTCGGGCCGTTTTTATTATGGTTTGGTCTCTTGGACTGAAACTTCGACACTAGAATTGTCTTTTTAAAATATAATTATGTACTTCGGTTTGATTCAGAATCTTCAGCCCAAACACATAATTGTTATTTTATAAATTTTTTATTTTTATTTTTTATTATTTTAATATATTTTTTATATAAATATAAAATTTTTTATATTAATTTTTTAAAAAATTCGAATGTCTTCATTTGAATTGGTTGAAGAACTCAATTGTTTCATTTTGCCAACCAAACTAAAAAAGGTTCCTAAGCTAATATGGCAACACCGGTCACAGCTGTAGAGAGAGAAAAAACATGGCTTCTCGCTATTGTTGTAGTTCGCTTTGGAGATGGAGACCAACATTTTGAATTCAAGGGTAGGTATCATAGTTTCTAATTTGCAGTTTTCCAAGAATTTTGTTCCTTTCAAGAATTAAGAATATGTGTTTTGATTGTTTCCTACAATTGTGTAAAATTCGATTATGACAATATGATTTAGCCATTATCGGCATTCCTTAAAAAGGACCAGACAAGAAGAATAAATTTTTTTAAAAAAAAAAACGTGTGGTAGGGGACCATAAGGGCCATAACGCCCCAGGCCGGAACACACAAAATTCAGAAGTGAAAATTAGTTCTCTATTATTGAAAAAGATTAAATTAAGGGAAACGCTTTGAAAGAGTTTTAACCCTATTAAATTAAGTAAATTTTCACCTCAAAACTCACATAAAATTGTACTTCTGGAATCCGATCATCAACTATTATGGTTGTGAAAAAAATTGGGATTTTAAGCCCTAAAAAATATATATATTATTAACATGTTATATAAACCATCCATTTTCAATTTTTCACGGATCAGCAAGATCTTTACCATTTTTTGAGATATAAATTTCATAACCTATGGTAGAAAGTGATTTTAAAGCCATCATATAGTTTTCCCATGACCAAATTATTTTTCAAGCAGAGGTTTCAACGTGAGGCATTACTTTTTCTTCATAGGCATATGCCTTTTATGTCATGTTGATCCTTGTGGTATGACAACTGCAAATCATGAAGAGGTGATAGAAATTGATTTTTGAGCCATTATAGAGTTTTCACATGACCAAATTATTTTTCAAGCGAGGTTTCGAAGTGAGGCATTAATTTTGCTTCATAGGCATAGGCCTTTTATGTTATGCTAATCCTTGTGGTATGACAACTGCAAACCATGCAAAGTTTAAATCCTTGTTACAAGGTCTTCGCCTGATACAGTAGAGATTTAGTTTATTGTTTTTTATGTTCAAAGTGAGTATCTAAATATCATTAACTAGTATAATAAGGAGTGTAGAACACCTTGGAACCTTAGAACAAAATAGATGGAGGTTATAGAGATCTGTGCTCAACAAGAAGTTTCTTTTAAACATGTTTATGGAGAAGCTAATGAGATAGCCAATGGTTTGGAAAAAAGGGAGTGCAGCTGGATGATATGGTGGTCTCTGAGGTATTGCTTGCTTGAGATTGATTAATGTTTGTAATAATCTTATTTCCAATGATATAGAAGTATCCTTGTTATAAAAAAAATAGGCCTAGGCCTTGTATCGCATATTTAAAATAATTAGTACTATAGAAAGAAGTTTATGGCTCTTACCTGTCCATGACGAGAACAAAATTGCAATCCCCAAGTACACAAAATCCAGCGAATACTGCACAAATAAATAAAAGAAAGTAAATGATAATCATGGTACATATTTATAGGAGAGAACTACCTTTATATTGGGTAGAATTAAGGAAAACTGGGTGGTTTTAGTATTAAAAAAGCCAAATCAATTTATAGAAATAAGAGTAGTAGACCGATTTACATAAGGACCCTAAATTTGTTTCTAAAATACAAAATGCTCTAAAATAAAAGAAAGTATATGATAATCATGGTACACATTTATAAGAGAGAACTACTTTTATATTGGGTAGAATAAAGGAAAACTGGGTGGTTTTAGTATTAAAAAAGCCAAATCAATTTATAGAAATAAGAGTAGTAGACTGAATTACCTAAGGACTCTAAATTTTTTTCTAACATACGAAATGCTCTAAAATAAAAGAATGTAAATGATAATCATGAAACATATTTATAAGAGAGAACTACCTTTATATTGGGTAGAATTAAGGAAAACTTGGTGTTCTTAGTATTAAAAAAGGCAAATCAATTTATAGAAATAAGAGTAGTAGACTGATTTACATAAGGACCCTAATTTTTTTTTTCTAAAATATGAAATGCTCTATTATAAGTGAAAATTTGTAAAAAAAAAAAGTAGATCAACCTTACCTTTTTGTTTCTTTTTTTTTTTTCAAAATTGCTCCTCAGCCATAGGACAACCTAAGATCGAATTTTAATTTTTTTTATATATTTCCATTAGTAGGGCAGTGCCTTAAAGCTTGGGGCACGACATTACTAATGAGAAAACTAAAATAATAATAATAATAATTTAAAATTCGGATTGAGGAATTTTGGAAAAAAAAAAAAAACAGGTTGATCAATCTTCTTTATAATTTTTGCCTATATTTCATATTTTAGAAAAAATTTTAGGGTCCAATGTAAATCACTCGAAAAATAAAGGCTAAATTACTCTCTATTATTCTTCATATTTGGTTATTTTTTCAACCTAAATTCAGACAAACTCTTTGAAGACTGAATTACTAGTAGTTGTGTGAACAGTGAAATGAAACCAATAGCCAAGAGCGTACTTTTGTCGTTCTAGAATCGTATAGTTCAAATTGGTAATGACCATATTACCCCTACTTCCCTCCCCTGCGTGAATGTGAATTCATAAAAGCTCATCAACTGCCAACTGTAAGGGCCATTCATGGATTCAAAAGATATTTTTCATCAAACTCATAAAGACAAAAATGCCATCATTCCGAGAACACTTTTCCTGCAACTTCTTAAAAGCTAAACTGCCCTTAATGCAGTGGATATCAATACCTGAGGACTATTTCCATATTTTTTAAGCAGTTTTTACATTTTCTTCAATCCAAAAAGATCATGTTTTGCATAAATTCAACGCCAAATTACTAAGAATTTCGCATTGAAATGTCTCTCACTATTAACTTTGCATCCAAAGAAAATGAAAAATGGTTGAAAAACGATAATAAAATCTCAGAAAAGTACCTTAGCCACTCTATCTGAAACACTTCTTGGAAATAAGTAAGCGATCCCTATAATGTTAATAAGCTTCCCAAAGAATATGAAGAAAACCGGAACTGAAGCTCCATGCGCGCAAGCTCCGAGCGATCCAATGGCCATCAAAACCCAATCCCATTTATCAGCAAAGGCGAAGAGCTTAAAAAACGGGACCTTCTTCTTTGCCTCTGATTCCTCAAGTTTTTTCTTCTCTTTACTCGTCTTCTGTTCTATTCCAAAGCTTCCATTTCCAGAAAAGTCCCCGGAATCCTTCATTTTCCGGCGAAAGAGGGTCTTCCCCGGGAAGAAGAAGCTTTTCTTCTCTTGTTTTTTAGAGAGAGAGAGGCGAGGTGGGATGAAGAGAGGAGGGTTTGGTTTTTGGTTAAGAAGGTTTGGGGAGCACCAAATTGGGATGGGGGGAGCACTATTTCTTTTAAAGTTTTTTAAGTTTTTTTTTTTTTAAAATTATTATTCCTTTTAAAGTTTAAACAACTCTGTTGACTCATCTACCCGCTTACCTCTATTTATTACAGGAAAAATGACGGCAATAATTCTGTGAGTGAGACAATTTTTGCTTGACGATAATACCCTTCTCGGATGGTTCCATTTCTTCTTGATGGTGCAAATGAACAAAGTAATCCCGCGCTTGGTTTTGTAAAAATATGGGAAATGCCCTTTAGTTTTTGCAAGGGTTCACGGCAGAAAGGCTTCGGGTTTTGGAGGGGCCCATTGCGCGGGATCATCGTTTTAAAAAAGCGATATACCGGGTCGGTAATCCAAAAAATTGGGTCGGTGATTCAGATAAAAAATAGGCCGGATCTAGTTTTGGCCTAACAAAACTTCAAAAAGTAACTAGATTTTCATTAAGGGCATGGTTTCTATGAGTCTATGTAGTCTCTAATTTTTTGACCTAATTTTTAAGGACATGTAATCTATAATATGGATATCGTGAATAAGAATAAATTAATAAATTTTAAAAATTAAAAATATTTATTCTATTAAGAAAACATTTGGACCCTTGGTTTTAATTGTTATTAGATGGACCACGTATCTGCATCCATCATTGAGATGAATGTTTTATACCTCGTGGACCACATATGTAGAAATGCAGTCCCCACCGCATGAAACAATTTTCCTTTCTTTAAAGTTTCTTACGTTTCCAAAAAAATGGTGATGTACATTATGGTTTTTCATTATTTTAGCAAAAATGCGTAAATACTGAGAACCAGACTAATGTATGTTTGAGTGATTGGTGTTCATTAGATTCATTTCACAATCAATAATTTGTTGGCCTTTTTATAGAAGAAATACCTTATTTAATAAAAATAAAATAAAAGAGCATCTAAATAATTCCTGTAATTAATAAAAAACAATAATACAATATATAAATAGTTGATAGTGAATCCCCTTGTTTTTTCGATTAATTCTTCTTTTATTATTTGCCGTTTTAAATATTTTCTCTCAATCTTTAAAGGTTGAATGTTGATGAAACTATGCCCATTATATCTCTTATAAAGTTAAAAAAAAGACCTAAATAAATTATTCACAATGGATCCTTGAGGACCATTTGGAGTATTTTTTGAGCTCTAGTATTTGGAGCTTACTTCTTCTTTTTTTTTGAAATAAGTTACTGTGAATTTCATTCCCCCTTGAATGATTACAAGCAAGTTCAAAAAGAAAAGGATGTAACCACCAATAAATGTTGATGCACACCACTTTTTGATAAAGCATCAGCTTCTATATTAGCCTCCCTAAAACAATGAGATAACTCAAAAGAATCACTACTTAAAATGAAAAAAATTTCATCAAAAATGTTGCATAATCTCCAAGGTAGCTTCATTTCTCTTTTTGCCTAGGCAATGACATTGCTCGAATCACCTTCAATCATCTTTTGACCCTCAAGGTTCTTTATTATCTTTAAACACTCCAAAAGAGCTATTGCCTCATCTTTATTCACTGTTGTATGTCAACATGGTCCCTAGTAGGTGAAATTGTAATTACCCATATAATCTCTAATGGTACCACAATAACCTACTGGACCTAGGTTTCCAATCGAGCTTCTATCAAGGTTAAGTTTTAAAAATTTTCATGAGGTGGCATCCAAATAGCATTTCGAGCCCGTTTGTCATTATTAAGCTTAGCAACTTCAGATGGGTCCTAAAAAATCTGTGATTTGGGGATAAACTTACAATCCTTGTTTGTTGAACACCATTCAGCTGCTATTGCTAAGGTGTTGGACTTCAAAACTTCAATCTCACTTTGTGTCATTTCAAATGTTTTTCTATTTCTCTCTCTCCAAATATTCAAAATAGTGCTCATCCATAAAGCTCTCCATAGAACGGTGCCAATTTTCAACAAACCTGGGTTCATCCATTGAGAGGATCAAATATGGGCTATGTGGGATCAATATATTTAGATTCAACAACTTTTTACACCAACCCCACATGTTTAGAGTGAAAGTACAATGTAAAAGAATATGGTCCACACTTTTGTTATCCCTCGAACATAGCGTACAAACATTGATAATTATGAAACCTCTATTACGAAGGTTATCCATAGTAGGTAGATTTTTTTTGAAGAGCTACCCACAAAAATAATTGAATCTTAAGCGGCACCTAAAAATTGATCAATCACTCATTGACATAGCAGTCGATAAACAGATTTAACTGAAAAATCCCTTGAAGCTATGAGTTCCCACACTAATCAATCATCTTTATTAAGAACATAGAAAAAATTATACAGCATAGTCATAAGCAATTGGAACTCATGAAAGAGAGAATATGATAACCTCCTATACCTGCAAACAATATTCTAAGGAGAGTTGGTAAAATTAGCCCCTCTGAGATCTTTCACTGAGGCCAATAGATTGTCGACTTTGGAGAAGACCTAAGGGAAAGAATCTTGAAGAGCAATGTCTCCCAGCCACTTATCAAACCAGAAAAAGGTTTGATCTCCTTTTCCAACCACTTTGCAATAATGACTAAGATATAATGATTGGCATCAATTCCTTTCCAAATACTTCAAAAATCGACTTTAGATCTAGGACTTTTAATGAGGCCAGCCAATACATCCTCCATATTTTTCTTTTAATACTTTTACCCATAAGCTATCATGCTGATTTTGGAAGCGCCACCACCACTTAGTCAATAGGCTAGTGTTCATCAATTTGAGTTTTTTAACTCCTAAACCCCCATCTCATTTAGAAGTGCATATATTTTTCCAATTCACGAGTTTCAGTTTTTTTTTCCATTTCTACATTGTCCCATAAAAAAAATCTCATAATGTTTTTCAAAGCCTGCACCACCTACTTTGGTATTCTAAACATGGACATAAAATAGATGGGTAAGTTGGGATAGTAGATTCTTCCTCCAAACGACAACACTTTAGACTTCTATAGATCTAGTTTCTTATTAAATCTTTTAATAATAGGATCCCAAATAGCTACCGATTGGTTTTGTCCAAATAAAAGAATATCTAAATATTTACAAAGAAACTTGCCCACATCTAAAAATATGATTCCAAATAGCTGCCGATTGGTTTCCTCTAAATAAAAGAATATCCAAATATTTACAAAGAAACTTGTCAACCGCACATCTAAAAATTTTTACCAAAAATACCCAAATATTTGTGAAGAAAACTTGCCAACCCCACTAAAATAGCTATCGTGGAGCTTACAATTGAGTCTACTAAGGAACAAAGGGGAAAAAAATAATAACACGACGTAAAAACAATGAACATTTTTAGAACCTTCACCGCTTTTTTGTTCACAAACAAATACCCCACATCAAAGTTGTGAGATGTGGGATAGAAATCAGGGGGCACGCCCTTAATAAAAGGAGAATAAAAGTTGGAAGTTTTCGGTAGGCCTAGCACATGGCCCACTCCCATTTACAGGAGGGGGTGCGAATATGTGATTAAGCAATTTTAGAAAGAAATATGTAATGGTCGTGGGACCACATTTATTTAATAGAAAATAAAGTAAGAAGAAGTGAATATAAGGGTGGGGTTTCTATAAGGTTGCAACCTTAAACAATTCGATTAAGGTGGATATCCAAATTTTATCATAAAATGTAATTTTGATGTAAAAATTTTTTAGGATTATTTGAAAATCTATTTTTATATCTAATTATAAAATTTTAAACATTAAAAATAGTTAAAATCAAATATATCTATAAACATATAAATTTTTTGAAAATGGACGGTCCAAATAATGTGTTGTAAGATGCACTATTTCTCGGATTCAAATTTTTTTTCCTTTTTTTTTTTTTCATATTCATATATCTCAATGTCGAGATGATAAATTACAGGTTTTTCAATATTAAAACAACCTTTTTTGATAAATTTTTGATGTGCATCTTTAATTCTACAGTTTAATGTTGCAACCTTATATAAATTTTTTTTTATATATAAAGGTGGTCAGACCACTTTTATCTAATAAACATGAAGAAGGAAAAATGGAAACGAAAGTAAATGTGGGAATTAGGAAATATGGGCCGGTCGATTGTAGAATCGGTTGGGAACCGGCCGATTTTTTGACAGACTCAACCAGGGGACCGGCTGGTTCATAGGGAGGACTGACCGGATCCCGATATTTTACAACATCCAAATCGGCCTAATCGAACTCGATCCAAATTGACCAGTTCTAATCCAGATTACCAATTTTTGAAACATTCAACCGGAGTGTGGCATTTTTGAAACGTTTTTGAGAAATAGTGTAAATGCATATTCATGTTTGGCATCTTTGACCAAAATGCCCAAAGCTGGATATTGGATCGTTCCTTTACGTGGGTTACATTCATAAAAATTACAACTCCAAATAAACGACGACCAAAATTCATTCCTTAAGGTGCCTTTGGTTTTAAAATCCGATTATATCTGATCCACATGGTTGATCCATATGAAAATTGGTCTAGACAGAACTGGTCTCAAGATGGTATAGGTTTCCACACACAATCGCCACCACCCCCAAACCAATCCAGTTTTGATCTAAATTGATGATTCAATAACGAGACACAGATATATGGATAAACGATCCATCCCACGATTCTAGATTTGAAACGGCACTTAACTAGAAAACGAAGAAGAGACACACATCGAACCCATTAGTTTTGCCTCGTCGTAATAACACAAGGAAACAAAACATTAAAAAATATACTACAAAACAAAACTATTTCCCATTCTTGCTTTCTATTTGGAATCATGCGCAGGATGCATTCCATGACAGGGAGGCTAAGAAAAGTCACTTTGCCTACAGTTGATTAGCCACAAGCAAATGTAACTGAACTCTCCAAATATGAATCCGATATAATATTTTATTTAAGGGCACATTTGGTTCATATGAACAAATTTTTGTGAAAATATTCTTACATAAATTATTACCCTATTGCAATTAGATGTAGAAATTTTTTCACACCAA